TCATATATCCACTGCCGGATGCCATAAACAAACGGTGGACGCAGGGGTCGCCTTTGGCACCTGGAACGACATCGCGGGACGGCTGTCCTGTCTGCCGCACGGCGTCAACGACAGCGTCATGAGCATGCGTCTGCCATTTCGGGCATCCAGATTCATTGCTACCGTCACCAACTATGCCCCTCCCAACCTTCCTCTCCAGTGACCAGCTGCGATGAGACGATGACAAAGTTCTACGAAGATCTGCATGCCCTCCTGACGTCTGTGTCGAAGGCAGACAAGGTGATTGTCCTTGGTGGCTTCAACGGCTGCGCGGGGACACGCCACGCCGCTTGAAGGAGAGTGCTGGGTTCCCACGGAATCGCCGGCTACATGACAACGGCAACCCTTTTCCACGAACCTGCGCAGAGCACCGCCTGCTCCTGACAAACACCTTCCGCTTTCCGATGCGAAAGAAGGCGGCCTCCATGCACTCCCCGATCGCAGCGCTAGCAACTGCTGGATTACGTCATCGCCCGAAGGCGAGATCGACAGGACATGCTGGTGGCCAAGGCTGCCTGCGACGCCGATTGCTGGACGGGTCATCGCCTCGGCATCTCCAAGATAAGGCTCTGACTGCAACTCAGCCGTAAACTACCAGGTAAGTTTTGTTCTGTTGAATTTGCCTGCTTACCGCTCACATTTGAGCAACAAATTAGACAAGCATCTAGAGGAGTTGCTGGCCCTTGACGATAACGCCACCGTGGAGACTGGGTGGCGTCAACTGCGGAATGCTATACACTCCATTACCTTGGACGCCCTCGGACGCGCACGTCGCGAACATCGCGCTGAAAAGCACAGGCTGCATAAGGTCTACATGCACCATCGGACCGGCACAAACAAAGCCACATTCTTCCGACATCACTGCTTTGAGCAGCAACAAGTGGGGAAGATGTAAGACGCCTGGATTCCCTCGCAAAGCCGAGGGAATCCAGGGGTATGCTGACTGCAACGAAAGGTAGAACTCCTTTGCATCAATCAAGACAACCGCACCGCTTCTCTCAGTTCTGGTGAGGAAATCGCAGATTCAGAAGCGCAGGGCCAAACACTTCAGAAGTGTGGTCGACCGCCCCCCCCCCCTAAAGTCTTCGACGTCGCCATTCACTGGCTTCCCTAAGTGGAAATGAAGGAAGACCTGGACGTTCCCCCCCTCCCTCCCTTTCTGAAACAATCAGCCGTGCACTAAGCCTCCAACGGGAAGGCACCGAGATCCCGGCGGCTCCCAAACTGACTGAGCAATTGACAACGTTATTACAGGATATGCGACGCCGACGACAAGTTCTTCAGCACTTCAAAGATGCGAAAATCGTTAACCTCTGAAAACGGAAAGGGAACCGGCGAGTCACAGAGGAATCTCGCCGCCAAACATCGCCGGAAAACCCGTGTGGATTCCGACGTCGCTGCGGAATCACTGACATCATGATCTTAATCGCCCGCTAGGCGATCTCTGAAACCAGTCAGTTATTCATCCCCTCCGGGTGGTTAGTGTGTTCGC